ATCTTTTTCCATTTCAGTAAAGCGGAGTCGACCGTATTATGCGAACGGACCAATTTGAACCAAAATTGGTACAACCTATTATCTTTACCAAGCCTAGATCAATTAGGAAGATAAGATCCATTGGTCCACTCCTTCTGGTACAACCTCCACAAAGGGTCTACATTTTCAATATTTTTAAATCCAATCTCAGGTAAACGGAATCCCGACTTGATCCAAACTATGCATATCCCATTATCTTTACCAAGCCTAGATAAAGTCCAATATAATTATAAATCCAATATCAGGCTAACGGAATGTCCGATTTGATCTAAACTTTGCATAAACTATTATTTTTACAAAGCCTAGATCAAGTCTGAAGTTGATACCCCTCTACCCTCTCCTCTATACTTCTCCTATTATGTAAACTTATAAATGTTATTTAAAGCGTATAACCGATTGATAAACATTAATTTACTCTTGTATAAAACGAACAATAAAACCTGGGTACCGCTATGAAGACCTCCGCAAACCATAGGCTGAGGGTCAAGTCAATAATCCTATTTATACCCTACACAACTATGTTGTCAGGTTATTATAGCTTTGTGCAGCCCCAAGAGTTTATAACGCCGCGAAATATTGGTCCTAGACCCACCTTTAAGTATACCGATCGTCATATCTCGACTAGCTGAGTCGATCTAGACATTTGTGTCCGTCCGTCCGTCTGTCCATTATAATTTGTAAACACGATACAGGCCACAGTTATGGACCAATCTTCACGAAATTTTGCATGTAGAATGGGTTCTGGCCAATGAAGACCCCTATTGTTTTTGGAAAGTATCGCTTAATATTTAGTGGATGAAATGGACCAAAAACTTTATTTTTGTCTGACTTTCTGGTCGCTCCAGAGGCCGCAATTATGACCCAAACACCGCGAATTTTTGCATGGAGAAGGGCATCGGGCCAAAGAATAAACATGCCTGTTTTGATAAAGATCGGTCAATATTTAGCAGGTCAAATGGACCCTGACTTTTGTGTGAAAAATTACAAAATTTGTATTCTATGGGGTATATATTTGCCCATGAAGGACCTAGACCCGAAAAGTTGATAGTATGTTCAAGAGGAGTGGTTGACCTTTAAATTGATATCAATTATATTGTCGCATGTACTCGGATGTGGGAGTTACACTGAAATATTTACAGGTGCTTACGTATTCAGACATTATTTTGTAACCCAATACCACACTAGAGGGCGGAAATATATCGCTAATCGCTTTGAAAATTTCCATGAAATTCCAGTTATGGTCAAGGACAACGGTGATGATCAGATAATAATTTTGGGATGAAGTGGACCGAAAACTTAACTTTTTGTGTTATGTATTTTTTTTTTTTTTTTTTGAGTCGATCTATAGGCCACAATTGAAAGCCCAACATCACAACATAACCCACGGTAAAGATAATCTGTACAAGTGCAGCCCTCGTCTACTGAATATTAGTAATATTTGTTGACCTTTAGTTGGGTTTCAAGAGGGTGCAAATAACGCAAAGTTTGATTTTCGTGGAAGTTGTGTAGGGTATTATATGGTCGGCCCCGTCCGACTATACTGCTCCGCTCACTAGTTTATATATGTAGTCCTTCTTATTACATTAAAATTTAGAAATTCGGATGTTCCAGTGCGCCATCGAAAAAAAGGACTTTTTATATTACAAAGAACAGTAACAACATTTTGAAAATTTATTTTAATCTTTTCTAAGTATGTCCCATAAATGATCTAAACATCTTGATGAATATGGAATAACACATTTTCACGTAATCATATTCATGAATTTATATATACGAAAAATAAACGCTACGATTTTAAGGCTCCGACATTCTGAATTTTAGTCTTTCTGGTACGGTATACTATAACATTAGTGTCGATTTCGAAACCCCAACACCTTATTATATAGGAGATATTTGTGCATTTTCTTACTGAAATTCATAAATACAAGTGAGTCGTTTATTTTGAACAATATTTTTGAAACAAATCAAACACATTGAGGTATTTCAATATAGAAATAGAATATAGAAAAAATGAACTTAAACCACATTTAAAATAAACGACGCAATATATGAAATACACTATACCACGATAACAAAATATAAACATAGATTTTACATCCGACCTCAACTAGTAAATTCACAAGTTTTAATTGGCAAATATAAGAAGAATTATAAGAATTATTAGACCGTGACATGTATGGCGTGTGCACCGAATAATCGACAATTGCCAATATAGACTGGCAAATGCGGTAAACGTTGCATAATACCAGTTAAAATCTTTCACCATTGACTGCACCTGAAACGATTATGAACAAATTGAACATGAACTCAACTCGATTTATTTTCATATAATTTTTAAACTTTGATGTTAAGAGAAAAGAAACCAACAAAACCAATTTACCCAGCTAACTGGCAGAACATTTTAGACATCCGTTGCATAAAGTATGAAATACATTCAGAGTCATTTAGCCAACCAGCACTCATTAGCTAACCTACTTTTTCACCATCATAAATTTTGAGTTGAAATCACACAAGAAGACTATTGCTTCCGGATTACTGAATCCCACCCTCTGGTACATGGTGTGAATAGCTGAAAACAAATGCATTCAAAGGACCACTAAGAGACCGATAACACTGCAGCCACAAACACACATGCCTGCCACCAACACAATGCAAAATCCAATTTCATCTCTCTGAGAGTATCCAAATATTGAAATATGTTCACGCAATCACGACTCCATTTTGTTCTTGAACAGTAACGTGCCGATGAATGTTGCACATATCCACATTCAGAACGGAAACATGTAGTCCAAACGAACAGAAGAAAACTAATGGATAGGCTATTCAAATGTAAAATCTTTAAGGTGATAATTTCACAAAAATTTTCTGTATTTAATTATACCTTACACCATGGGTTTATTTATACATGTGCATAGTAGACGAAAGTCTGATGTTCACTAGGGTTATGACTTTTTTCACGAAATCACGATAGAGATAACCATTTTTAAGGTTCTGAAATCTTGCACAGACATTGCTAATACTCCGGACACGTTTTTTTGGCTGTAATTTTGTATAACACATCTCCGTAAGAAAAAAAAATATCAGTCGTTATTGCCGACATATATATATATATATATATATATACCCTCAGCCTATGGTTTGCAGAGATTTTCGGTATTAAACTCCGGATTTAGTATTCGCTTAATATACGATTTATATCGAAGAGATTTCGGATTTAATATTAATCAAATCGGTTCAATCGGTTGAACTAGGATTATTGACTTCGCACTAAAATTAACAAAATGGCTGACCCTTGAAAAAATATTTTTGGAAAATTGCCGATTTTTGACCAAAAACCAAGTTAAAAAATAAGGAAGATCTTCACCGATTGGCTTTATCCTAGTTCATACGATAGCTATACACTCACAGAGAAACGTTGCAAAATTTGGAACCGATTGGATTATTAGTTCTTAAGTTATCGTGCCCGCCATTCGCAAAAGAGAAAAACGTGTTTAAAGTTTGAGAAGCCCTTTAGCCGTCACTTGATTCTGATACAATAAATCGTCTATATCTTCAGGAGTTCTTGTGATTTTCTCTTGAAATTTTGTAGGGACATTGTTGAATTAGTGTAGATTCGAATTAAATAAAAAAAATTAACCTCGAGAATGGGGGGTCCCCTTAATAATCGGTTGTGCAAGTTTTATTTATTAGCCTGATATTGAATTTATATGCATTAAAATGTTGACCCTTTGTGGGGGAGGTACCCGAAGGAGTGGGCCTATTAGTTCCATTTTCGGACTTGATTTAGGCATGGTAAAAATAACAGGTTGTGCCAAGTTTGGTTCAAATCGGACATTCTTTCCCCTAATATGGAAATTATATACATTGAAAATGTTGAGCTTTGTGGGAGAGGTACCAGAAGGAGTGGACCAATGGGTCTTATATTCGGACATGATCAAGGCTTGGTAAAGATAATAGGTTGTGCCAAGTTTGGTTCAAATCGGACATTCATTTCGGATAATATTGAAGTTATAGATATTGAAAATGTTGACCCAGAAGGTGTGGACCAATGGGTCCCATGATTGGTCTTGTTCTAGGCTTGATAATGATAATAGGTTGTGCAAAATTTGGTTCAAATCGGATAGTCCATTCGCGTGATATTACAAATTTTTTTCAGCAAAATTCTTAAAATTTTGTGGGAGAGGTACCAGAAGAAGTGAAACGATATTCCTTATCTTTGAACTTAAACAAAATTTGGAAGAAATATTACGATGTGCAATGTTTGAATGAAAACGGTTACTCCTTTCGAGAGTTATCGTGCGCACAGACGGACGTACGGACATTTGTAAATCGCGCCCAAAACATGGGGTCTAAACCCAATAATTCCATGAGGCACATATTGGCCATATCAAAGTGTATACGAGTATATCCTCATTGAACATAAATCTGAGGGTATAAACATTATTAATACGGACCCATTTTCAGGATATCTCCACCCTAATATTCGGTATTTTGAACACTTTTTTCAACCGCATTGCCTGCAAATTGGTATTTTGCAACACTCACTACCAAAACGTGTTTCAGGGTAGCCCCCATATTATGGTAGTCACTAATATTTTGTATTTATGCGATTTTCGGCACGTTTCTCAACCGAATTGTCTGTACTTTTTAGTTTCAGCGTAGCCCCCATATAACAGTATCCCCTAATATTCGGTATATTAGGAATTTTGGACACATGTTTTCAATAACAACATAAGCTTTTTCTCACGACTTTTGTCGGTATGTTCAAGGTCCTATCATAACATAAGTTTTCTCCTAGGAGCATCCCATTAATTTTAGATATAAATACTATAATTGTATGAATAATTATGAAATGTATTTATATTGTGGGAACGAACCCGTTCATTTCACAGTAAATGTTAACTGTAATAATTTGGTCATTAAATTTATTAATTTTTCGTTTTTTCATTCATTCTTTACAGAGATTTGCGCTTCAATAACATTAACGAGATACCCAGTAGGGCTTTCTATGGACTTTCACAGGTGACTACACTTTTTCTTAATGGTAATGAAATTGCCCACTTGGAGGATGGAGCATTTGAAGGAATGCCATCATTGCGTTTCCTTTATCTCAACTCAAATCAACTCACCCGTCTATCGAAGAACATTTTCCAACCGTTGAAACAACTGGAGGGAGTGTAAGTATGATTGTTAGTCCAGCATATATGGTATCTATGGTCGTCGATGTACATACATACATATGTAGGCATAGAAAACGACAGATGTAAATGTACATACACATTTGGCATAGCATTCAGAATGGAAATGATATATGAACTGAAATTAATTTGCTTTTGTTTTTTTTTTTTCAACACTCTTTTCATGTTCACTCTCCGACGAATGCTGTACAATCTCAAAGTTATCTGGAAAGCAATAATATCTGGCAAATTGATGCTGATACTTTTGCGAATCTACCGGTTTTGAATCGCATGTAAGTACCATTCTACTATTCATTGAATAATTTTGTGTTAAAGCATCCAGAACCAAGGATAACCATTCATGTATGGTGTAATTCAAGCCGGACAAGTTTTTAGCCATTAGTGTTATTATCATTAGGAAATGCCCAGACTAGTGTGGATCCGACTATATGAGGCACTCGATTAATGGTGAATTGATTTTCTGGCATGACCAATGTAAAAGGATAATGATGAAAAGACGATGAGAAACTCCATAGTTCTGTAGCCGGCGGTTCTGGGCGGAAGATTTCGAACAGCTATATGCAGCTCAGAATGACTACACAAAAGCTATTATATTCTCGAATAATCACAGAAAAAATATACATTTTCAAATCAACATTGCTCGAAATTGCACATTACACTATCACTATCATACATACGTCAATCTGTAGTATTTTCAATACGCTTTGCAAAATTTTGTCTCAATCGGACAAATATTGGCAGTATGGTGCTCCATTTACATAAAATTGGACGAAACTATATATGGGAGCTATATCTAAATCTGAACCGATTTTCTCCAATTTCAATAGGGTTCGTCCTTGGGCCAAACAAGTGACCTGTGCCAAATTTCATCCAAATCGCATTGTAAATGCGATCTGTACGGTCTAAATTTGAACCGTTTTTTTTTTCAATTTCAATAGGGTTCGTCTTTGGGCCAAACAAGCGGCATGTGCTAAATGTCATTCAAATCGGATCATAAATGCGATCTATTCTTTGCTCACAAAAATACATGGACAGACGGACGGACAGACGGACATGCATAAATCGACTCAGAAAGTGATTATATGCAATTCTCAAAAGGAACCATGTGTCTATTTCGATTCCTTTTGCATGTTACTAACATTTGCACAAATACATTATACCCTCTACCACAGTGTGGTGAAGGGTGTAAAACGTCGTCAAGTTCGGTCGTGCCGAATTTTTTCTTCCCTCCATCACGTGTTGTGCTTTATAATAAAGGGTGTAACATTTATGTGCAATTATAGCAAACTTGTACCTATAAAGCAATTTTCGACACAATATTTTTTCTACCCTACAGGGGGAAATCAAACAAAAATCCTTCAAAATACTGACAAGATGGGGCTACCTTTATATGGTGGTTATGTCAATACATGGTCTGCGTTACATAAGCCTTTATAACAAATTACAGCCACATCGGTGCTAAAATGCTTTAGTCTTCAAAATGCCGAATATGCGATGTTACCATTCTATGGGAGCTATACCAAAACGTAAACTGGCTACTCCAAATGTTAGACCAAAAATTTTGTCAAAAATGCTCATATGAGCCTATCATTCATATTGCAGGCTCTATCGTGATTGACGAAAATTGCTAAATGGACGTAGTATTATAATCTGATAAGTAAAATATATATCACATTTTTTTTTTATTTCATAGCATCATCACATATTTTAATATATCGTTGTTATATCGTTTAAACGTTTTAATTTTTCCACTTGTTCTACTTTCAATCTCCTGATTTAAATGTCGATGACATTACTAATGGTTCATCTGCCGTCTTCCTTTTAATATTGCTGCTGATAACGACGACGACGACGATAATGATGATGATGGTGTCGATGATATCCTTCAACTCTGCTGCACCGCTGCTACCGTTATATCCCGATTGTATTGCTTGTCGACACCCACAGTTTCATGTTTAAAAACAAACTCACTAATCTACCGCCAGATGCATTCACACGGTTGCCAAGTTTGAAACGCCTACGACTCGAAGACAATCCAATCGACTGTAATTGCGGCATTTACTCATTGTGGCGTCACTATCAACAGCATCCGCAACGTAAACTCATCACCATCGCATTGACTTGTGAAACACCGGCCACATTGTATCGTTATGGCTTTAACGGATTACGGGAATCCCATTTCCACTGCAGTAAGTACAATATCCTTGTGATATCGTTTGATTATTCGCATACATGTTGCCCTATCGTTAGCTCGTTCGTATGTACATGATCAGAAATTGATAGCTTTTCAAATCATTAACTTTTGAAAATAGGAATGACAATTGGAAAATACCCGATTATTTAGAATGTGGGAATTATCGATGGATCGAACGTTACAATAAATCATATCAGAACATGAACGGGTATTTATTTAATTTATGTGTGGTTCTGAAACTTCCCAAGCATGTAAAGCTAAGCGTACTGTGCAGACATCTTTTCGGATATTTTAATAGGATCTTCTGTTACTTTTCGCACAGTGGACCCTATTTGCCATTTCCGATTTTTCTGCATCCTTTCAGATGGGTATGCCTTTTTTTTTTAATTTAAATATTTTGTGTAATTATCAATGTCGATTAATAAATTCAAACTTTCCAGTTCTGACAACAAAACATTTACACATTGATTGTGTAGCTGTAATGGTTTCGCATTGGTAAAAGGGTAATAGCAATTCAATCGGTAATAGAATAAAGAAGATATCGATGGTATCTTGTGTTTAGTGCAAATAATTGTTTTACATCAAGTCGTATGGAAAGCAATTTGAGTTTTTCAATACTCCTACAGACAAATACACTCAGGCTCTCTCAACACGATTGATGGATTACAATCCTTAAGTGTTCTTAAAGTGAAATTAAAATTGAATTACACGTGTGAGAAAAAGGGAAGTTTATATATACTTTAAAAGGATAGAATAATATGTGGTAATGTTGAATTTTTATCTGTAATTAGGAAGTGAATACAACAATATTTGTAATATTTTGTTTAATCAAATTAATCGAAAAACTTTCGGGATTTTTTTACAGTTATTAAGTATGGTTATACGAATTTAATTTAAAGAAGAAAAAGCGTTACTAACTGGCCTGGGACCAACTTTGGATACACTCCACCAGGAGATATAATGACATATGGAGGATTTTCGCAGAATTTGTTGTGGAAGATTAACAAATTGTTATAATCATGCGGTTTGCCTGTCTATTTATTTGATCTTTGGTGTGTTCCGGGAATAATGAGAGTATAATTGGCTGAAGAATTACAGGGTTTGCGATAATGATCAGGATTTGAGCAAAATGATGGGGGACTTTGACTGAACCAATATTAACATGAATTGTTCAAAGAATATTTTTTCAAGGATGATTTTTCAGTACCACTAAACTACGCTATACGTGGTTTTTTTAAAGTATATTTTCAAAGTAATATCAGA